CGGCCTCGCTGCTGTCGGGGGGTGTGGTTCCGTTGGCGAGACGGGTTCAATGTGCTTGGTGGGCCACGTGGTACCGCGTATGGCATCTGGTAAGTGCACGGATCGGGGTACCGAACGTTCATGTGGTGAATGGGCGTGTTCCACTCGCCGTGAAGGTGGTCGCGGAGGATTTCAAAGGCCTCCCGCCTGGACACGAAGCGCCATTCACGGTGGGCTGTGTCATAGTGGATGCCCACGCCGGTGTTGGGTCTGGCATGGTGCACGAAGCGCAGCCAGGCAAGAAGGTCACCATGCAGGACTGAGTCACTGTGAACATGGCGGCATTCGGTACCACTGTCGCAAAAACCTTCTGGATGCCGGGCCTGTTGTCGAAGATGTCGGTAACAGATGTTGTCTCGCGGCATCCAACGCGCATCAACGAACTCCGGATGCAAAAAGGCGCACTGGTGGGCAGAGGCAGGTGCACGTCCCCTGCAGCCGGAATGGTTGATGAACTGGTTGCAGACCTGATTGCCCTGCAGGATGTAGCCCGGACCGACCGCCTCGGGCAGGATCGAAAGATGGTCTTGAAGGGCCCGGTACAGTCGTTCATAATCCGGGTCGAGCTCGGTCATTTCCATGAGCTGGTACTCCTCCACGATGGATGCGAAATCCGCTGGAGCAGTCATGGCGGTCGAGCAGGCAGGGCAGGTAGGTAGGTAAAAGAAAAATTTGGCTAATTCGCCAAAATGGCGAACGGAGCATGAATCAAGCAGTGTCATCCTGCAGGCACTCAAGGTTCGAATCTGAGTGTGATTCAAATGCCTTCCGCTATCGGTTGTTACTTTTAACACAAGTGTTAACCGCAACAAAAAAACCACACCCAAAGCTCTAGCTTTCAGCTTTGCCCGCCCAACTCCTGGGCCTCCGGGGCCGGAGTGCCTGGTCTGAGGGGCCTGCGCCGCAGAACTCGAGTTCTCTCGATCGAGTGCACCCGAGGGCGCTCACGCCATGAGAAGCACACGGGGCTTGGCGCCAGCTTCGGCTATAGCGGCTATACACTGCGCTCAGGTTTGCCGAGTCGACAAGGAAGCTTGACACTCCCAAATGGCGCGTTGGGAATAACAAATGATCACCACCAAACAGCCCACGCGGATCATTTGGATGGGAGGCCAAGGGAAAAGACCTGCACATGCGGCGCTTCCCTGGAAAAGGAGAACCAGCACGCAAACAAGCCGAAAACGACCCCCTAATTCTCACGAAATCCACCCCAAATCAGGCAACTGTTTGGGTGTGCTCCTTTGTTTGGTTGTTTTCAAGGAAAACCAACAGGTCTTGCTTTTTTGGGGGGAGTCCCCAAGAAAAACACGCATGTTGCCTCATGTTGCTCCATGTTGTTTTCGCGCGGTGCATGCCACTTCAGAAACTGCCAACTTGCTGTGCGATGTTGCAGCCATGCCCCAGCGGCGGAACCCGTGGATGAGTCAAATCAACATCCGCTCCGGCGTCAAGGGTTTGGCTTGGTGGTTTGGAGGACCGGGGGGTTCCAATCCCCACCAATCCAAACCACCCACCAAGAAGTACCTGACAACCTGTTGGACCAGGTTTTTTCTTTTAGTTTCGTCTTTCTTTTTCTTTTTAACAAGCTAGTCATTGCCCAGGGAACAAATCGCATGCGAATGCCCTTCAGCTATTGAAGCAAGACACTGAACCCAAGTCCTAAATGCCATGCTGTGACACAAAACCACCCCAATCAGCTGCACCGCAGGCTCCATACTCCCGCTAAGCCAATGGATCACTGGCTGATGCGCAAAAAAAATGCGCCCCTCGTCAAATTGCAGGATGGGAACCCAGGATTAACAAGCTGGATCGACCAGTGGTGTTCAAGAGAGACTTGTTCACGTTCTCGGGAACCCCTATGTGAATCCACCAGATTCAATCCGGGGTCGACCTCCGGACGAAACAAGCCGTGACTCTCGCTGGGCCGCCCCGGCAGCTTCTGGTAGTACGGCCGGCCGTGATTTTCCCCCTTCACCTTCATGCAACGTGCCAGCGTGACTTGGCCATGCCAGCCTCCATTTGCATCGATTCTAGCAAGCGCATCGTCCCATGCGACCTGGCTTCTGCACTACCTCCCGATGCGGCCCACAAACAATTGCACTGTACCCCACTACAACGCAAGGCAGCAGCCCAGCATCCAAGAGAAAACATCCCCATAGGTGACCTTTCTGAAAAATCATAGATGGCCCTGGCAAATGGATGCAAATGGAATAACACTCATCTAAACCGGGGCAACCTTGTTTTTTCCACCTTGGAACCGGTTGTTTGTTTTTCTACCTTGACCTTCTTTTCTCACCTTGGAACTCTAAACCAGCTGATCTAAAGAGGCCACCCGTGATCCCCGCACGACTCAGCCAAACACATCCCGATTCTGAACCCCCGGATGCGAACCGGAACTGAGGCTCCCTGCCATAAACTCACCGCTGAGGGTTTGGATCACAAACTGGCGCTGGCGAAGTTCCCGAGATGGCTTCCGGCCATTCGCACTCAATCCATGCATTGTGCGCCATGTGGCAACCGTTGGCGGGCTACGTGGGGTAAAATTCCCGGAGAATGACAAGCACACAACGATTTGGAGAGTGCCATGCTGGGTCATTCTTTCGTGGTATGCCCAAGTCTTGAAGAAGACAAAGCCCCGTGCAACTGCACTGCGTATTGCTTGGCTCGCGCCTCATCAGTGTCTTGACCCTCGGAGAAGGCTACATACCTCGGCAAACAGAACGCGGCGTCAAGCGACCCGCCAGTTGAAGCCCTACACCAAATCCATGTTACCACATACCACCCTGCTGCTGGTGGGTTCGCGCCACTTTGAGCCATAGAAAAACCGCCTTCTGCTGATGAGCATGGCCCCCTTGATAACGAAGCCAATTCCTCGCAGCCCATGGAATGTTTAGATGGCGCGATGGCCCATATGTCTTCCCTCCAATGGGTGGTTTGGATTGGTGTTTGGATTGGTGGCAATTACGGCGGCTAAGGAGGAAATTCCCATTTGCTCCTTGCAACAACAGGTTCAATTCCAGAAACCACTGGGCTCCAAACCACCAACCAGGAAGCTGATTGGAGCCTCAATTGCCCGAGGTCGCGGCTTGTCCTCTCCAGCATGCTTTGGCGCACTGCCCCTTGGCCAATGTGTCAGACGCACACACACACACACACACCACACACACACACACACACACACACACACACACCACACACATGCAAACACACACACATACCTGGATTTTTAGCTAGGGACCCTTTGGTGGACATCATTTCGGTTGGGAGTTATGTCCACCCACCACTGTTCAGGGGGTTCCCCATTAAAATTCACAGCTACCTGAATCAGCGGCACAGCCAAATGGTGGCCACTTGCCTTCCTCTTAACATCTTCAAGCCATCTCGTGGGCAAATCCCCAAGAAAAAAAAACGACAGCGCTTGCTGCTCAGCGGCCAAGAATTGCAAGTCCCATTCCAAATGCCCCTAGGTTTGTCTGATTGGGTGTGTCTCAAACTTGAACATCTCCTACAGGCCTGCAGCTTGGACGCATCTAATGGGAAATCTATGTGCCATGCTGCCTGTTCCAGAGGTGCATCGCACTCTGGAACAGTTTGCTCTGGGTGGCACAAGTGGGCATAATAGGCGGAGAAAAAAGAAGAAGAACAAATCACCCCATGGGTCAGCAGAAAGCCATCCACTTGATGGGTACTCCTCAGCATGGCACGAGGCCGGCATCATCGCCTGCATCTGCTGGTAGGGTACGCCTCGGCTGTTGTGATTGGAGGGCGTAGGGCAAATCAAAAACAAACATGCTCTGTCGCTCGCCCGAGAATGGGAATAGCCATTGGGAGTCAACAGCCCTCATAATTAGTAAACTAGGGTCTTGGGTCCCTAGCAAGTCTGCAATCCTTCAGCATGAACCTCAACGGGTATGACGCTGATGCCTTTTCCTCAGTCCGGCCTGCTGTGTGCTGCCAGAACCTTCAGGTACTCAGAGCCCAATTGCCCAGAGAGCCCAGTAGAAAGAGGGAACCTGTCTTGGGGCTGAGCAACTTAGCCGGGAACTGCCAAACACAAAGGTGAAAGTTATGGCCCCCGCATTCACCGCCAGAGGGCTACCAAGCTGGGCTGTGGAGCACCACAGAAACTGTGGGAAACAGGAGGCGCAAGTCTGAGAAGCTGCAAACATCCGCTGGATGCCACTCACCCAGTCCGAACGACCCGGCACACATTTAAATTCTCGCTTTTGACCACACGGCGGCAGCTTCTCAGGCTGTACACCCGGTTGTTTGAAATTTGATTCCTGACCAGTAATGAGGGCCGAGCTTCGGTTTAAACGGCGGGCCCTTTTGCACACATTGGCTGCGTGCCACAAAGCTTGCCCCCTGCCCCCCGCTTCAGCGCCAAGACAGGGTTCAAACATTTTGGGCCGTCGAATTGAGGGTACCATGTTGGTTGTCTACGTGGCCATGGGTCAAAATCCCGTACCCCCAGTGAACATCCCGATCCCTACTCAAATAGGTTCTAAAATGGGTGGTGAATTCACCTACCAACCAAAATGGGATCCCATTGGATTTGACCCACAGCCAAGCCACTCCCATTTTGACAACTGCAAAGCCCAAGCCTCATATCCAAGGCCGCTCTGTGGGCTCAGGGGTTTTTCGTGCCGCTGAGCGGCCCGGAAAACAAACGGGTCTGGCTAGTGCTGGAAGCGGGCAACTGCGCAGTGACCAGTTTACTCATCTGCAACTGTTGCCAAAAGATCCAAAAGCTGAAGAAGGGATCCTCAAAGAGAAGGACCTTTATCATGGTGAGTTCGTTTTACCTCAGGGTGAGCTCGCTGTAAAATAGGCAGAACTAATCTTTTCAGGGGACTCACCCTGGGTGGGTTAGAGCCAGTGTTCCAGAGGGCCCTTTTGTCCTCAGGTTAAGCATAGTTGAATCTCACAGTGCGCTCGCCGGGCGGCCCTGGCAAATGCAGCTAGCGGTCTGCCAGGCGCAAACGTCGTGCGAGTGTGGCGCTAGAATGGCCAATCAGAACTAATGTGGATCCTCCGGACACCTATGCTAAATATGATGCGGCAACTTTGTTTGCTTGCTTTTATATATCCGTACACATATATATATATATATACATGTCCTAAGCCCGGAGGAGCCATTGCTGCTCAAACAAGTCTCGGAGTGCAAGGAATTGCCAGGGAGCACCAAGCACGCAATCTGCAGGTAGTCTTGCAGTGAGAAACTCTGGGGCTGGATACTTCCCAGAACCTTTCTTGAGCGAGCTCTGCAAGTGACTAACACCAAAAGGGTGCGCGACTCCTGCAATGACCGGAACTGTCAACGGCACAACCGGACTATCAAGCAGCCCTCGTTGCAATAAATGTGGGAGTGGACGATTGGAGGTTTTTGGACGACCTACGTCTTGTCATGCTACGTCATCTCATGTCCATTCTTGTGATTGGGCAGAAACCACCCCAGACAAACAAACAGAAAAGGCTCTGCCAAGAAGCTCACACAGATCTTCCCGTTTCTCTGACAGAAGCCCTTCAAAGTGACACACTCAAAAGATACCCCTTGTGGCTGAAGGAAATGGGGATTGATCAAGAGGTCCTTTACATGGGATGACCATTGGGGGAATCCATTAGAACGATGATATTTGCAACTAAATGGGAAAAGTTACCCATGGTTGTTTGAGGGCAAGGACTAGTGATAACCCGCCATATTTGTTTTATTTATATATATATATATGCACATAATGAGATGATATCCCATGTTTTTTGGAGAGCTGACATGCGCAGGACATTTTACACGGTCCCAAAGCGAAAGCCAAGGCACGCCCCCCCTCCCCCCCAATCCCCTCCCCCCCATTCTCGCCTGCTTTGCTTGAGGCCGGCAATTCCTGGTAACTTCAGACAAACTCATGTTGCATGTGGCCCAATGCGTGGCGTTTTAGAGTTGGTACCCCTTTTTCGGGTTGGTTTAAAGGGCAGCCAAAAGGACACCAACCGTTTTGGGGGGTCCAAAGCCGAAAGAGACACACCCATGTTAAGCTCGCCTTCTGTTCCTTTCACGGGAGGCACTGCCCTGCCCCGAGCTGCAACAGAGTCAAATGCAACAAGGCCGCACTTCGAAGCTTTCGGGTGAATGGGAATGTGTTGGCATCCATGGCATCCCGCAAATCTTGGCCTCTAAGCGGTGAAGTACGGCGCACACCACATATGTACGGCCATGTGACATCTTAAACATCCATTTCTGCTGGCTTGCTTGCGTTGGCGCACGCAAACGCCTATCCACGTCGGAAAATGATCATTCCCGAACCGCTAGGTGGGGGGAAACCAACCAAGAACTGGCTCAATGCTTTCAGCCGCTTCGAGCAGAGCGTGGCAATGATACGTCTTGAGCAGCGCTTAGAAGCGCCATGAATCGGCCATGAATGTCAAGCTATGAACCCCGCGAGTTGTTCATGCCCAAACGGGGATGGTCCACGAACCCACGGTGAGTCCGGGAAATGACGTAAAAATCAAATGTCTCTGCTGCGAACTGTGCAAAACAAGTCAGCCGGAAAGGTCCAAAGTCAAAGGAACCTTCTTCAAAAAGATTGGCTTCCCCGAAACCATCCCAAACGAAATTGATTCGGATTCCCTCCAAAAAATAGTCGCCCATAAAATCACCCAGTATCCTTGACTGGCTCCCCCAAAAAAGAATCTGAAAGCTTCCGAAAACACAGGATATGGATGCGGTACCTGTTTTTTGGTGGCTCTAAATTAAAGAAACCAAGAGGGAACAACTACCATTTTGGGGGTCCCTCCAAAAAAGGACACATCCATATGGCCATGGGTCAAAATCCCGTACCCCCAGTGAACATCCCAATCCCCACTAAATAGGTTCTAAAATGGGTGGTGAATTCACCTACCAACCAAAATGGGATCCCATTGGTTTCGACCCACAGCCATATAAACATCTCCTGAAACCTTTGGCTCTCACCAAAAAAGGGATTCCTGCAGAAACAATGGCTTTAAAGGGAAACCAAGAGGGAGCAACCACCATGCCGCCATTTTGGGAACCAAATCCCACATCTTCGTCTGGACTGCGTCCTCCGCGCGGCGGAGGGGGCTCGGCGTGAAGCCATGGTTGGCACAGAGCTCCGAGTTTCCGAAGTCCCCGTAGCACATGAAGAGCCTTGAAAGGAGAAGCATGGCAGAAGGGTATGGGTCAAAATTAAACCACCAGAAAACCGCACGTGTTAGTCCATGTTTCCATTTACCAGGGTCCTATTTTGGGTACCTATTTTTCACCCACAGCCAGAAGAGCCGGATAGGACCAAAAACACCTGGGAATCTAGCAAAAACCACCCAAAGGCGGAGTGAAGCCGAATTGGAAGCGCTGAAAAAGGACCCAAACACCCCGGGAATCTATTACTTGGAGCATTGGGAATTCGGGAATGGACAAGATGCTGGTTTAGTGGTGAGTCAGGTTCTTGCAAAGGATAGGAGCAACCACCCAAAGGCCGAGTGAAAGCTGAATTGTCTCACATCTAAACAGCATAACCTCAGTTACAACTGGGCAAAGCTTGCAGAAAACAAAAATCGGCATCCACAAAACGAACAACCTACGGGGCATTTTTCTCATGCAGCTCCCTTTGTCTCCTCTGAGGCGGATCAACTCTGGGATTCTTCAAGGAAATCGCGCTTCCATTTGCTTTATTGAATACTTCCATTTGCTTTTAAGTCCCCTGGACAAAGTGAACATCTTTTCAGATAGACCGCCTGTAAAAAAACCGGCGCGGGAAAAGAAAACGCATTGCCTTGGGCAAAGTGGACCACAGGCCAGCCACAGGTCCCAGCGGCTCCTGCATTGAGGTCACTGGCCGGGTGGTCACGAAGCGCAGCTCCCTCCATGCCTCATGGTACTGGACCTGGTCGGGCCGGGCGTGCAAACGAGCACCTGCAAACGCTCTTCTTGCAAGGTGCCCAAATCTGGACTCGGCTTCCTTGAATGGTAACGTCCAAGCTTATCCTCTTTTCCAGAAAAAACGAGGCTCAAGAAGTGTGGTGGCGCAAGTCCTGCACATGTCAGTGGGCCCACCAATCAAAGCCGCAGCTTTGTTCCTACCTATTGCACTGTGGCAGAGTCAACGGCTGTGAAGTGTCAGATATCATCCAGCGTATGGCAGGCTGTGAGGACTGAGGTCGTCTTTGCACCTGATTTTGCTTACAGTGCTCAATGGAGTCAAAGAAAACATGGCTTGTTTGCCGGACGGCTTGGGCCAAGTGTCATTTAAGGCATCATGATAGAATTTCTTTCTCAGCCAGCACACTTCAGGTGACCGTGAGACCTGTTGGAATACTTTCTTGCGCCCGCTGGGTTTCTGAGACGGGCTCACCTTGCTTATGCAATTGTATTGGCAGCCCAGTGGGATTGATTTGCATGGGGACTCATGTCTACCAACCATTTTAGAGGGTGTTTTGCAGTAACAACATCCATTTGTCAGGGCCATCGTCTTTTTACTCACTTCAAAGCTGGCCCCACATCTGATACACAAGAACACAAGAAACAAATATTCTGCAAAGATGTGTTGCATATCATTCTTCAAGAACCAAAGCCCCAAATAGATATGAACACATCTCTCACCTACCCATTCTGGCCCCTGCAGTAAATACTCCCGATGCACTCAGTGGAAAGCTCACTTCACGCAAGTGACACAGCCCCCTTTGGCCGTTTGAGAAGCGCAAGGAAGGTTGTTAAAAAAGGAAAAACATGCGTGGTGAATTCATGTGCTTCAGCCATGTCTTGGCCAGCCACAAAACTACAAAACACCTAATAGCAAACACCGGGGCCTAAATAAAACCAAGACACAATCCTTGCCATCCCTCCGATTAACGTGCTAACAAAGCCATGCATGACACAAGTAGTATGATACCTATGTACGCATGTATTCAACCGTGTATGTCTTCTTCAGTCGCCGAATTGTCCGTTTACAGGCAGGATGACCTCAAGAGGTCACCTCAGTCGAAGTGTCTTACTTTTGTTTCCGCCTGTGCCGCCTTGGCAACACTGGCTGGCCCCTCACGCAGTGGCAAGCATGCCTCCACAGTTGCTTCGCAGCTGGGCGCATGGTTGATCATGTCACCGAATGGAACGCATACCTGAGTCGACGCAATCCTTCCTAGGTGGCCGGCAAAAGGCCTGCCTTTGGAGATTCGAACGGGAACTCCGGCCACAAGAACCGCGGAAGCCACTGAAGTAGTAAACGATGCTTCCTCCAACACCGCAATACAAAAAACAAAGATTTCTACTTCCCGCACATCATTGGCTTTTTGGCTGTTCTTCAGGACTAGTTTGGCGGGGTCGAAGCACAATTGGGTTTGGGGTTGGTTGAGATTGGGTTGTAAAGTAGTTTTGGGAGGGAGGGGGCGGGTCAAAGAGAGAGAGAGAGAGAGAGCGAAAGTAGGGATCAAAAAAGGGATCAAAAACATCTTCTCATTCCGACGGGGAAAGGGAAGAAAGAAAACAAGGAATCAAGGAAGGAAGGAATCAAGGAAGGAAGGAATCAAGGAATCAAGGAATCAAGGAATCAAGGAAGGAATCAAGGAAGGAATCAAGGAAGGAATCAAGGAAGGAATCAAGGAAGGAAGGAAGGAAGGAAGGAAGGAAGGAAGGAAGGAAGGAAGGAAGGAAGGAAGGAAGGAAATTCAAAGAAGCTGGTCTGTAAAAGGGCCAAGGGGATTTCTACACTTCCATTTGCTCAAGGTGCCACACGAGGGCAAACCAACCATGACCTGAGGACATGATAGGCCGATTGGCTTCCTAGACAAGTAAAAATCAAAAAACACAAGCCCAACCCCAGTAGAGAAAATGCGGTCATCCTTCCCCCCCCCCCTCCCCAGCCCCCAGCCAAACCTCGCCCCAGGCGCCGCCACGTGCGCGCCGGCGCAGGTTATGTTGAAGCGTCGGCTCAGCAGCACTGCCAAGGCGCGCCGGAAGGGCCCGCTCGCGCCCCGCAGGCCTGCGATGGCGCCTAGGCGCGTCTCCGATTCCTAGTTAGCTTGCTGGTGCGATAGGTAGGGAGTGAGGGCCTGAACCTGGAAATTCCCTTAAAGGAAGCCACAAGGAATGGTTTATCGATCATTTCTAATTTGGTGGTTGTGCACCAAGTTAAGTTCATTCCCAACGACCCTATTGATTTTCCCACTGAGAACCAGCAAGTAAGGTCTACCCTCTGCCGTCCTGGCCTCTTAGAGGGAGTTGGCGTGGGATGCAACTAGAATGCAGGGGGATCAGTCCCTCGTCACAATCCAGCGAGGGCCCATTGAACCTATCAGGATCACTATCGGTTCCAGCACTCAGGGCTTCAGAGGCGACAGTTTGGGGGAAAAACTGCCTTCCAGCAGGCTCACTCCCAGTCAAGTTCCGGGTTGGCAAAACAGCTTCGGCAGCGAGGTGCGGTTGGTTGATTTGGTTGGTTTGGTTTGGTTGGTTGATTTTCATTCAACCGGCCCACCCGAGGCTCAAAACCGGCCCCAGGCGCTGTCCGGCAGGATCTGGCTCAGCTGCTTCTGCCAGGTCAGCAGCTTCACGCCTTCCGCCTTCGCCTGGGAAGCACCCTTCGGCTTTATTCACATCCCACCCCACCCCACCCCACCCCACCCCACCCCACCCCACCCCACCCCACCCCACCCCACCCCACCCCACCCCACCCCACCCCACCCCACCCCACCCCACCCCACCCCACCCCACCCCCCCAGCCCACCCCACCGCCCCACCCCTTTAGCCCCACCCCCTTCGCCCCAAACCTTGGCGTGCATTATGCCTGTATCAAATCCAGGGGCCGGGGCCACCCAAAAGAAGATCCCCTCAGGATTTTGGTGGCTTGGGGACCCTTTTTGTCATGCCCTGGGGAGTGGAATTTTGCCCTCATTCATCCCAATGGAAGACTCTCTGCCAGACGGTGGTAATCAACTGTGCTGGATTTGTCTTCTCGGCAATACGTCTTTGCATCCATAGTGCAAAAGGGTCTGTCAGTGCTGAGGGACTACGGCACCACTTGTTTCATTCCCGGGCCCATCTGAGGGTGTATTTCAGTTTTGGATCTTTTTAGGCCGCTCGCGCCAAATGTCATGACCTAGGTGGAGTGAGCATCCTTGGATACAGGGCATACAGTGGAGCCACATGAAAAGTTACCTACAGAAGAGCAGAGCCCGGAATGGGAGCCTTTTTCAGGGTTCCTTTCTCAAATTTTCGCCTGGGCAGCCAAATCGTCCAGAGCAATCACACGCGCTTCGTGCGCCCAAGGTTTGCGCCTCGCTTCGCTTGTCCTCTGGCCACTCCGGCCAGTTCCCGCAGTTCGCCGGCAGCGCTGCAAACCTGGGCTGTGGCGTTGGTCCGGTTGCTTGCTTCTGGCTGTAAAGCCAACGCTCAAAATAGGTACCGTAGGTACCGGTATCCCAGGCATCGCTTCAGTGATGTCAAACTGTTGGGCCTCCCCTCCAAGAGCGGAATGACTCTTGCAGATCCACTCTTGGACATTTGTTGGCACACAGCTGCAAATCTATATATATATATATATAGCGCAAATCAACACACAACATCGATTTGTGTCCTGAATTACTCAGGACAAGCCTGCCTCTGTTTTTTTCTCACAGGAAATCGGTTGGTCAACTGCAGCCTTCTTTTTGCATGATGGCTGGGATCATTGCAGTTAGTCTCTGAGGCAAATTGAAACTGCAAGGTCTCTCCTGGCACATGAGCAAAACACGTCGCCCATTCCTAGCAAAAAACAAAACGTAACTCCTGCTCAGCATGAACAACGCATCCCATCCAGAGATCCTTCCACTTCTGTCCACCGCAAAACAAACTGCCTACTGCCTGCACACTTTGAAAGGCGCAATTTCCTTATGTTGGGTTCATCCTTCCCTGCAACTGACGGAAATGGGAAACCCCTCCCTGACCACTCCCTAACCACCCAAAGCACCAATGCAAACCACCAATTAGTGGGAAGCTGAATCTACTTTCACCATGGCACAAGCTGGCCAGCTCCTGTCGCAGTGGGTGGGCCTTTGCCGAGTGGCCACAAAGCCCACCGCGAGTCGGGGCCTTTTTGCAGCTCCCGGCAGAAAAGCTCCGTGAGGCGGAACAACCTGAGCGGCGACGCATTTCGAACGCATGCAACGAAACAAACGCTGTGGTTGATTGCCTGTGGTTAAACAGCTAAACCAATGAGCTGTCCCACACCATGGAAGCAGAGTCTTGTAATTGCCTGAAAGAAAAACAAAGGAACCCCTCCCCGCCCCTCCAGGCCAGTTCCCCCCCAATTGGTTTCCCTGATTTCGTAATGCGGCTATTGCCCCCGTCCCCCCCCCATCCCCCCCCCCCCCCCAAAAAAAAGGAGAAGTGTGCGACCAAAAGTTACCCCATCTTTTCAGGGGCCCTTTTGAGACACAAATGGGTTTGTCTCAAAATAGGGCACCCTCGAATTTGTTGGTTTTCCTTTTAACCTTTACAACAAACCCCACAAAGGGTATCAAAAAATGACATGCCCAAACTTCAAGCAGCAGCCAAAAGGGGAGCACCCGATTTCCATTCGCTCCGAATTTGTTGACCTCGGATTAACCCCCTGTTCACAAAATATGGAGGTGACCCCCAATTGGTGTCAGAGATTTTGCCCTTTCGATTCCCACGAGAGACGGCTTAGCCCTGGCTGAGACCCAAAATGGCATCACACTCATCCCCCGATTGGTGGAGAACAGTTTCAGGGGGACGGATCCATCTGCCCCTTGTCGCCGAATGCCTTTTAGAGCCGAGCCGCGAGTTCACCGGCAGCTCCGCCACGCAGGGATCCGCTGAGGACCTCCAGAGACCAAAAATCCGCTCCGAACCCTTCGTGGCCCATTTTCAAGGGCTCGGGTAAAGCCTCCTGACCATGGAATCCTCGATGCGACCCAAAATAGCACAAGAACGTACACAATTTTGGGTAGCCGGGGGGGCTCTGGATGCTGCATTTAGTAGAAAGATATGGTATGACCCAAAAAGTATGAAATCCGAACAACTAATAAGTTATAGGTAGATATGTGGATTTTCCACAAGGGGGCCCAAAAGCAGAACGAACCTTTGCCTGATGCCAATCCGGGATATTGCAAAATTGCCCCATCCGATGGACACGTCCTTTGGGTGAATAAAACGTGCAAACGCTTGTGAAGGTCACATTCCCCAACCTCCCAAAAACAAACAACAAACGGTGGGCTATCTGGGAAACCAACTCCCCTGGCCACTTTTGTTAGGATGGCATGCCTGCATCATGTCGCCATGAGGAGCCTTCTCGAGCGTACCTGTCAAGCTTCCGTGATTTTGGTGGTCCAAATCCAGACCCGCCCAAAATCACTCCCCCCCCCACCTCAAACCCCAAGCCCCGAAGCCCCCACCCCCCCGCCAAGGTGCAAACACGCCTCCAGCGGCAGCGACAGAAGGCACTTCCCCGGGTCCAAACCGCTCGAGGCGCCGGCCCAGAAGAGGCCCCGGCCGCGCGCGCACGCGCGGACCTGTAAAGGCCCTCAAGCATTGGAACCCATTGGAGAGATCGGGATCTCCAGGGTTTGGAGTTCCCCAATTGCTGGTGTGGCTTGGTGGTTTCAATCCAAACCACCTAAGGGCAACCTGAAAATAGGCATTTTGAGGTTCCTGAATGCTTTGGAGAAACGTCAGATCTTCCTCTGTCCCTTTGGCCCTGCCAGCTGCTTCAAGGCGGAAGTTCGAAACTGATTCTTGGTGGGGTCAGGCGTAGGGAAGGAAGGGCTTGAATATGCTCAAGCAGCCAAGCAGTTGCCATCAGTTGAAGAAACTTGCCCAGGACCTCTGTACAATTCTCGCGCCACCACTTGCAGGTTCAGCAGGGCATCAAACTTGAGTCTTCAAAAGCAGCCAAAGAACCAGCCAAAAGCTCTCAACATGGCATCAGCACGCACGGAGTTGAACATGGATCCCAGCTGCCACGTTAGCAGGTAAAGACTTGCCCTTCTTTTTGCTTACTTCTTGTGATGCACCCCGCTCACACTATATAAGGTAGGGGGCGCAAAAAAGTGGGAGTAAACATGGAGCAAACTGCCCGAGTAGTGTAAGAAGGTACGGCAGTGTGCAAAATGCAAGCGGTGCAGGCAGTGCAAACAGTGCAGGCGTGGACGCATTTGGGGCTCACTCTCACGCAGAGTTGCACCATGTTCAATTCCTGACTGAGCATGCCTGGGAGGAACTTGTTGCAGGGTTCGGCATCAAACCAACACGCCAATCACATGTTACCAGTTTATCCTTACGAGGGGCCCGCTCCAACATCATCGCCCCAGCCTGGAACATGAACCGAAACACGATCAAACGTCTCAACATGGTCCAAAGGGCGCCCCTTTACAGCATCTCTCCGCTTCCCCCCCCCCCCAAAGTGGCTAGGGTTGGGGATTCTTCGTCTGGCGCAAAGACACCGGCCACTGACCCCCCAGTCCTAACCTCTGATCGGAGCCTCCAGGCCATCGTCCAAGAAGCCCTGGTTCTCCTGATGATTTTTGGATCGGGTGCCCGCCCGCGGCGACATCACTCGGGCCGATTGGATCCCAAATACTCGCGGGATGGGCATCGAAATCCCGGCCTGAAACGGCCCGCGTTTCTGGACGGCAGGAGGGGGGGTGTCACCGCGGGCCCCGCAGCCACGAACCCGAAGAGATCCGAGCGAAGCCGTCCCCTTGAAATGGGCACCCATAGGTGTACCTTTTGGGAAGATGGGCCCTGGGAAAGAAACCAGAGCCCTGAGCCCTCTCTGCTTAAGCTATCCAAAAAGGCGCACGCACCCCGCGAGAAATCGCGCCTGGACCCATCGCCGGAGCTCGGGGAACATGATGAGCGATCATGGCGCCATACGGCCCACAGACCGAGTACCTACTTTGGATCGGTTCTTGGGCTAGCCGCAGGCTTCTCCTCCAAATCTTGCAGCTTGTGAAGGGGACTTCCGGAACTTCACCCCCAAAAACCCGAAAAAAAGGGTTTAAGGTCTGAAGGTCCTGGCCGGATCGAAGAGAGTTGCCCGAAAAAAGTCTGGGAAGCCTTTCAGCCGCAGTGAGCTGTCTGGCCGGGCTTTGGGCGCCGCTGGCGTTAGTGTCTCTATAGCTCCACCGCTAGTTTATGGCTTCCAGTTAGTTCTGACGCACATTCCGGAAAGTGGCGGCAAACATCTCGCTGGGCTCATTTGCTAAAGCCCCTATGGCATGCATGGCAGATTCTGGCCACTGGCCGTCAGTCACGCGGCTTGGGCGTCTGATCTGAAGAAGCTTCGGAGAAGATGCACAACGCACCGGTCACGAGTGAGCTGACTTGGCGCTGACCCTCGCATCATGGCCCTTCGCTGGGTTGGTCTTTGACCGGGTACAGCAACCAGGCCCCAATTGCCCAAGCCAAGATGTTATGTTTGCTTTCTTGCGGTCATGACTTAGGCTGTGCACATCCAGCCGTAGTGAAGCAAATAATCATGGACGTGTCATGAGGGACGCTCTATTGGACATGTAGCCAACCCCTGAGCTTGCAAGAGCCAAGGACTGGAGCAGTTTGTGTGCTAAGGGATTGCATGTTCGCCAAGGGCACATGGGTTGCCAAAAAATGAATGTCCAGAGGTGAACCTCTCCTCCCCCAATTCCATCTTGCAGGGGATGTTTGCTATAAACTCGGGAGTCCAGAAAAGCAATCTCCCAGGCCTAGGGCAAGTCAACATCTGTTAGATCATGTTGACCCCTGATCAGGTGAGAGGATCAAGGACGCTAAAAAGGTGAAGGACACCCTGTGAATCGACCTAAGGCTTGCCCCCCGTGGAACACCCCCGCAACCCACTCCTGAAATGTAAGACCCTGTTTTTGTTTGCTTGCGCCCGCTAGCCTTCCAAAGGGACGGTCCAGCGCGGAGAGCATGCAGCAATGCACAGCTCCCCAGACTCATCAGCTTTCTCGCGCAAATTCAGACATGTACCATCCTGTCGGGTGCCGCTTGCTTGGCCATGGTGGCTTTTGCCGGGGGGCGATCCTGGCTTCCCATCCTTGGCCCCGGGCCAGGCGCGTAGCCAGCCTGACAAGGCAGGTGGGCGTGGATGGTAAAGTCTCGATGACATCAGACGGGCTCAGAAGGGGCTTTGAATGGCTCCCCATATCAGACAAGTTACAATCTAAAGGTTCAAACCCCTCAATCACCCTACCAAACTGCAGCGCAGTCTGTCTTGATATATCCTCAGCAGGGTCGCCATTGGTCAATATTCAAGCCACCAACCGAGAGTCAAATCCATCACCTGGCCATGAGTCATAGACTGAGTCATAGCCTATGTCTCCATTTTGGGGCGGATCAACACCCATGCACCACCTATTTTGATGTTCGCCAGGGGTTTCGAGGGGGTTTGACCCAGAGCCACCTCGATCCCTGGCCTCTCTCAAGCCCCGACCTTCCAAGCCCCCCGAGCCGGAGCCTGGACAGCACCTTGTACGCCATACCTCGGCTGTCCCGTCTTTTGCCTACAAAATCCACACAGAGCCTCGGGGGGGGGGGGGAACGTTCGAAAATGGCTACGCAGGCGAGCCCTTTTGCAATCCTTGGGAAAGACCCATCATTGCCGCTGCACACTATCCCCTGCGGATGGACTAAGTCTAACTCATACCAGGGTATGATGATATGTAGTAGTATTCATGCATGGCGTCATTCCCCCCCCCCCCCGGCGTCCGCCTGCCTCTTGGAGCCTGAACGATAAATCCTTCACAAGATAACCCTAATATATTTTGGCGGGCATCCTCGCGCTTGCAGCCCCCACCAGTAGCTCATTGTAGCCTTCAAGGACTTCTGCTCACGCCGCTCCCCCCTCCTAGTTGTGTTTGGGGAAAAATGATTACCTAACTGAAATCGGCATCAGCTTTCAACCGACCTGACCGAAAATTGGGGCATGGCACTTCCCACGGCACCTCAAACCAGCTTCCCTCTTGGTGGTTTTGATTGGCTTGATCGTCGAAACCGAGGGAGGCCCCAATAAAACCGTCCGCAAGAACCGGGTCCAAATCCAAACCACCGGGCTCCAAACTTCAGACAGACCCCAACTCTCTCGCCGCACGGCTGGCCGAGGGCCCGGCCCGAAGCGGTTCGCTTGGGCGGCTTGGGCTTGGGCTTGGGCGGCCTGGCCCCAGAAAGGCTCCAGGGGGGTCGCCCTTTTTTTTGGAGCTGGCTCTTTTTGTTGGGTGGCTGACGGGAAACCAGAAGGAAAACCACCAAAAGGAAAACCAGAAGGAACAAAACGGCAACTTTTGCGGGTCCCCCCCAAAAAAAGGACCCGCCCATTCTTGGAAACCAAGGCCTTCGAAGTGACCCACACCCCATGCTTTTGGGTACAGAATGCCCGGAGAGAAATCCATGCCCCGGGGAAGACAAACACAAACTCGCCTTCCGAAATTGGATGGCGATCCAAACCCCCATGGCTTGTGCCCCAGGATTGGAGAGGCTTGGCTCAAATTTTCATGCGCGCTGGTCCGAGATAAGCAAATAAACAAATCCCGCTGCTGACCATACTGAACCCTATTCCCGGCAATATGACGAGCTAGTCGAGTTTAACAACTGGTGTGAGGTTCCGACTTGCAGGAAACCTGGAGCTAGCCCCTCACAAGAAGTCTCTTGCATTCTCTGGCAATACCTTCCAAGGCGCAATGACAATGAGGGGTTAAAGGACCTTCTAATCCTGGTGTCGCTATCCTTCAGTGGCTGGGCGCTCCCGTTGCATCACTCACACCGGGTGCTTTGCGGAAAACAACCATCAAACCGGTTGATGCAAATCCCAAGGGCCCAAGTTCAATGTAGACTGGGAAGTTCAGTTGCCTTCAGAAAATAGATGGCAGTTTGGCTCCTACCTTGCATGCAGTCAGTTTCAACATTGACTTGGAGGGCAGGGGTTGAGGACGCCTATCCACTGTCCGTGTTGCTGATGTTTTGTTTTTGGAACAACCCGGTACTTGAACTTTCCATGGGGGCCAACAACAAAAAAATCCGCAAAACGCCAGGCTTCTGAAGGCCAACCGCTTCGCGTGACGTTTTTCTATGACATCCTCTGACCCGCTGCCCGAAGTAAAGGGCCCCTGACCCCCACTGCAAGGTTCACCGCTCGCGCCGTTGAAAAGCAATGCCCTCCCTCCAATCATGGAAGCTGACAGCCTTCTGCACACTTTCCTCTTGTGGAAGCCGGCACAACCCGCTTCACCCTGGGCCAAGAAATGCGCCGGTCGTTGGGGCCCCGGCCCATGCATGCTGCGCTGGGACGAAGGGGTTAGGCCTTGGGCGCTGAAGGCCTGGAAATGGATGCCAGCGACTTACAGAACAAACGGGTGTCGTCTTTGGTCCCCGTCTTTTTGGGAGTGCCCCAACATGGTGGGTTGCCTTTTGGCTTCCCTTGGCTCCACAAACATGTGGCACCCTCAACAAAAAACACAAACAGATGCTCCAATCTTCGTCGGCATCCTGCGGCCCAAATGCAAAAGGGTGAATGCAGAAACACAAAGCATGAGGGAAAGGAAAACAGGGTCAACATGAAACTCCCCAGCGCAACAAAAGCCAAACGTCCCAATTGCGGCCTTTGGTGGTTCACCTTCAAGCACTTCAAGCCATCAACACCAACACCAACGCCCCCATGATCTTGCGCCAAAAGCCCTGCAAAATCCAGTCAAACCTGCAGAAACCATCCACATGTGATTTGTTTGATGGGTCCCGAAACCTTTGGACATCAGAACTTCGGTGGGCCCCGTGTCCGGCAACCGGGGCGCCGGCCCGCCCACCGGCGCAACAAAGCCCGATTGCACCGGATACCTCGGTGAGAGGCCGAGTTGTGACTCCCCTCCACTGAAAGAAAATATTGGAACCACTAGGAACCCCCCCCCCAAACAGAAAAAAAAGGAGTTTCGCCACAGATCCTACGAGTGATGCTGACCCAGATGAAGCTGAAAAGCCCAAGGACCCCGAGTTGCCAAAATCACTCCCCGCCCCAAGACTGGCACTGAGGTACAAGCCCGGCTCCCCACATGGCGAGATATGAAGCTACTGATGCGGACTGTGATCCTGGCGGACTGCGATCCTGGCTCTGGGATCAGATTTGTCGAGAGCTGCTCTACGGATTCTTGTTCTTTTTTCGGCGTGCGCTTCTGGTTCCTCGGATGTGAGCTGAAGACTCGTTGTGCATCATCGAGCCCAAAATTGCTGCGCAATTGCAAGCTGCATATCACTGCATATCTAATATCGGCTCGTCTCGGTAACTCCGAAGCCTCAAGTGAGGGATCCCCAAGTACGAGGCCATCGCGGTGAGCTCTTTGGCGCCGGTGAGCTCACCATGAGCTAAGCAGGCAGTGAACCAGGCCGTCGAAAAACCGCCAAAGCGCATCCATGTTGAAGAGTGTCGCATGAGTCGGAGGATCAACAAGTCCGTGAGAAACTTTCCGCGACCTGGGTATTGGCTTTCGCGGCTCTATAGCACACCCCTTTGCTGCTTTCCTTTGCCGGGGTTTCTGGTGCTCAATGGGTATGGCTTAAATAAAACCGAAGGAAACAAAATAAATTTGCGGTTCCATTTTTGGGTACGTACCTATTTTTGACCAGCCAAATGGGATGACTCAGAAAGTTGCGTGTTTAGTCAAGCCAGGCCTTGCTTCAACCAAGGGATCCCGAAGGTTCAACTTTGCCGAGCCTGCATACCCGCGCAACATCGATATGTGTTGTTTGCCTCAATTGCCCTTCTCACGACAAGAACGCTTGTGGGGCCACTACACATGCTTACCAAGCTTGGCTGCTGATCCCCCTGCAAAAAGTTTAACTTGTTTATGGGTTTAATGGAAAACCCCT